ATTTTTATCAGTATTTCTATTTATTATAAAAGAAAAAACTATATTTTTATGAATACTAAATATATTGTCTATTCTTTTATACTATTTTTAATTTTTTCTCTTTATATTAGATTTTTATTATGTTTTTTAACTTCATTATAAATTTTAATCATTCTTATTAACTTACTTTTAATAGCATTAGATTTTTTGTTCTTCAATACTTTTTGCTGAAATCTCATTAAACATCTTTGATTTATTACCTTTCTTATACTCATTAAAATTATTTATAAAAAATTGAATTAGAAGATTAACTTTATAATCTTATCAATTATTACTCAAATTATTAGATTTATCTAAATCTAATTGGCATTTGGTAGATTTTTGAAATATCTGTAATCTTTAAATTAATTAAAAATTAATTTATATAAAAAAAATACTTTATAATTTAATAAATTACTTAATAAAATACTTATTTCTAATACTTTTTTAAAGATCTTATTTTTATTAGAAATTTCTTTTTCTTGATTATAAATATTTCTTTCTTAATTAAGAATTCATATTCTAAAATACTTCTTTAAAATTTGATTAAAAACATTTCTAAAAATATTATTAGAAATAAAGTCTTACTTTTATAATTATCTTGATGAAAAATTTTGATAAGAAAAGTAAGAAAGAGTTACATTACAATATTCAAAAAGAGGAGAAGTGTAAATCTCTCTATTAGACCTAGGTAACAGAATGCTTTTTTCAGAAAAGCTTTTTTGAGTATTTTCTTTCAGAAAATTTATTAGTAAAATGAGTTAAAAAAGATGTATTATATTATATGTTATATTACATATTCTCTCTTTATAAATTAGTTGATCAATTTTGATTAGATTCTTTTTCTCAATCAAAAAAGTACCTTTTTAATTGATTGCAAAGATTAGTTTTTTAGTAATATATAAGTCAAAATTGATTGTCTAAATTCTTATGTAATCCAACCAGAAATGCTAATTGATCAAATATGAATTAGCCTATTAGGACAAATATTAAAGCCCTTTTAAATTGATTAAAAAAAGGTTTTATGATACTTACTGAAGAAGATATAAGTTTGAAAGGAAAGGAAAAAGAAGTTCAAGAGGAGAAAAAGTAAATAAAATTAATAAATAAAGATATATTTATAGAAATAATGATAAAAAAAAGTTGATAAATATCTGTAATTAGTAATACTAATTAGTATTGAAAATAATACATTAATCAATATTTATTTTTTATCTAAATTGAATATCAAATATTTATGAAAATTGTGAAACATATTGCACATATGATTATCAAAAAAAAATTTCACAAATATCAAAATAACCTTTTATTTAATGGTAAAGATCAATAAAATAATATAAAAAGGATCGTCACATCTCATAACCTTTTAAAGAAAGTCCACTACGTTAAGTCTAATTTTTTTAGTTGTTTAAATTTTATTTTCCAATCAGCAGCAATTTCACATTTTGACATATAGTAACCGATCTAAAAAAAAAATAAAATTTAATTCAGATTCACAAACGAACGCACAACTATGGGTTATTTGATTCATTAACCAGTGTACGCTCCAATTTTAATATCAGGAAAGATATTGTAACGAAAAAAATGAAATTCGGTTTAAAATAAAACATTCTCACTATAAAAAGAATGTCCGTCATCAAATTATATCACGTTTCGTCATCACTGCTCATTACACGTGTTGAATTTGTTGTATTTAGAAATTTACACTTGATAAAAATAAAAAAAAATAAAATAAAAAATGGTTGACCTAACTTCCGACTTTAGAAAAATAGTTAATGAAATAAGTAGTAAATCCTCCTTAGAAAAAGGGAAAAACAAACATCGAAATGATTTATTACCACCAGTTAAAAATAATACTAGGGGAGAACAAGACGAATTTCTAAAAGAGGCTTATCGAATTGTAAGAACAAGTGTTAATGACTTACTTTATTGTAATTCTTTTTTTCGAGACTAACTTTTTGTTTTCGCGTTTGTCTTTTTTTTTTATATTAGGATTCTCATATCAATAATTTAAAGATTTTTCTACTTTCAATTCGAAAAGTTTACCTAAACACAGCATCGCAACACTATACTCCTTCAAACTTTAGCTATAATGACAGTTTTAACCTATCCACCTTTGATAGTAATGATGATAAAAATTTCCTTTCGAAATTTAATCCTTCCACAAATTTGACAGATAAAGAACGAGATGAAATTGACTTACAAGCTAAAATGATTATACAACAATGTCTAGATCGAATTAAGAAATTGGAAGAATCCGAAAAAAGTGGGTTAAATTTGTTCAATTCATGTCAGTTATTATACTTAATTAATAAAATTAAAAATTTGGCAGAACGGCAAAATTCAGTTATGAATAATACATGGAATAAAATATTGTCGACAGCTTTTTCGGCCGAAGGACATGATATGCTACCAGCTATTCGTAGTAGTATAACATGGTATTTAAATAAACGGTTAACTGAAGTTTCAATGATACAAAAAAATCAACAGGAAACAAGGATCATGAAAGAAATTGAAAAGCGTGAAAGGTAATAATAGAGTTCTTATATAAAAATTTCTCATTTTTCCATTTAGCATTTATTTAATTTGTCGAGAATTTATTATAGCACATTGTACAAGTCAGCTTCAATTAGACCTTCTACCCCATTACCATTTCCAACAATGATAAATGAAGAAAAAGAGATACCAGGAAAACATGATGACGAGTTAAATGGAGGTACAATGGTAACAGATGATGATGATGATATTGAACGACACTTGACAACTGAACAAAAAATGATGTTGGAAATGGAAAACGAAACAATGATGAAAGAATTAGCGACGTCTTTGGAACAAGTCAAGTAAGCTTCATCATTTGAAGGAATTCTTCACTTCATCATACTGATCTTATTATATTATTATTTTTAGTCAAGCTGAAAAGGCATTATTAGAGATATCCAATTTACAATCAGTTCTTTCAAATCATTTAGCAGTACAGACACAACAAACAGATAGATTATATGCCGAAGCTATTGCTACTACCGATAGAGTACAAGAAGGAAATTTGATGTTACAGCAAGCTAGGCAAAGGGCTTCTGACACAAGGAAATGGGTTCTCACATTTTTAATAATAGCCAGTTTCATTCTACTATTCTTAGATTGGTATGATTAAAGAAGATTATTAAACTGTGGTGTAATAATATAATAATAATTTTGTAACTTATTTAAAAAATATATATATAATTGGGATTTATTATTCACATTTTATTAACTTTCGTTTATGCAAATAAATCACTTTCCAAAATAAACATGTATTTGCATTAATAAAATACAATAATACATCCCTCAAAACTATTATTAGGTCCCATTAAATACTTTCCCATAAACTCTCAACTTTACACTTTTAAAATAAAATCAAAATATCATTAACCGCTTGCTTCAGTAGTAACTTCAATTGTGGCCTTTTCTTCTGCAGTATTATTATCACCATCGTTTTCAACTTCAGCGGCTTTCTTCTTCTTCTTCTTCTTTGGTTTATTCGGTTTAACACTAGTAGATAATAATTTCAAAATCTCTTCATCTTCCAATTTTTTGTCGCTCTGAACTGATTCAGGATCATATAAAGTACTTGTAATCTTAGTCGGTCCATCGTCAGTTAACAAAATTGTATTAAAGAATTGTGCAACAAATTCTCCTATGAAATAGTTAAGATAAAGATTTTTTTAAGCAAAATAAAAAGAAATATCTTTGTAAATAATTTTTTTCTTTTCCTTCAATTAATTACCTTCTTTTACTTGATAGACATCATAGCTATTAACTAATTCATGTTTGTGACATTCAACTATTCCCATTCTAGCTTTTTTCTCATCTTCCAGTGCTCTTAAAGAGAATGGGAAACTTCCAAAGGTTTGATTGATTTCATTATATACAATACGAGAAGCTCTCATTTTCAATGAATATGTGTGATCAGTTTTTTTATAAACTGTAGTTCGTTTGACTGACGGTCTAGGCTATAAAAGAAAAAGAGGAAAAAATTAATAAACTATAGGTATTAAAGGAAAATCTTCTTAACAAATACACGTACCTTCCCTTCACCGGTAGAGATTAATATATCAACACCGTATACTTCATTCTCACCAAACTCTGCTTCCGCAAATTCGCGTTTTTGAGTTTCACTCGGATTGAGAATTACTTGTTTCTTACCTTCAATATTATTCTTTTCTTGTTGATATGATAACATTCCTATAATGAAATAAATTTCCTAAAATATTTCTCTTTTTAAACTTTCTCTTTCTAAGAAAAGAAAAATTAGTTTGATTCGAACCTTCCACGGAATTCATATTAAAAGCTCTGGCAATTTTCTGTATTGTTTCAGTAACTTTCGTATTTTTCAAACCAGGTTTTATCAATCTCAAAGCGGCTTCAGAAGATAAATGAGCAGCTGTCAATAAATCTGCCAAAAGGCCTTTTACAGGATTTTCTTTGGATGCCCCAACTACAATTGTGGTGGCTACAATAGCTGCGTAACCATCAACTTGTGCTCCCAATTGAATTTTTACTAAATCTCCATTCTTTAAACTCTCTGTACCTTCATCATCAGACGATAATGGAGAAAAGTGACAGATAACATTATTCACTGATACACAAGTTGGGAAAGCAATACCTAAACAAATGGAAAGATAATGGAAATATTTCATTAATACATTTATCTTAAAATATGAAGTCCTGTAAGTTTAGTCACCTTTGATAATGTTCTTGCTTTTGACGAAAAGATGTTTTACATTCTCATCAATTAATTTATCACCCATCGCACAAAGATCGATGATCTTCGTTCCATCCAAAGCGGATTCGACCACCTTTTTGAGTACACCTTAAAATATTGAAAAAAAAATTTTTTTTTTTTTTGAATAAATAATTCATTGAAATAATATAATCCCCAATTTTTTTTTAAAAGTATTAAAAAAAGCTTAAGAAACTATTATTAAATGCCTATTTATACATTATATTACAAAAAAAAAACAAAAATCCATAGTAGCATTCAAAAAAATTTCACTTCAATAGCACTTTATCTCGTTCTATAATATAAACACGTACGATTGGAAGCATCAGCAGCCATTTTAT